TTAATGTCTTCAAAAGACGACTTAAAACACACCTTTTCCAGAAATACCTGAATTAGCACTTCTGGCATTATACTTTCTGGCATTCCTTTAAAAAAAAAAAAAAAAAAAAAAAGCACTTTTCCAACAGAGTATTAGATCGATGGTGTTCATAGCCTTGGTTTTTACTGAGCTAGTATCGGGAAAAATTAATTGTAGAGTCTTAAAGCACTTATGTAAGTCGCTCTGGCTAAGGGCATCTGCAAATGCTGTAAATGTAAATGTGGGAGGAGCTTTGAGCTCCCCAGTACTAACAGTATCCAATCCAAAGCTCCAGTTAGCGTAATGTTTTCCATGTTGAACATCAACTTGTGAATTTAGATTTCACACGTCAAGAAATTCATTAATTTGTTTCATTACAGCATGCTGGAATCGAAAGGCATATGATGAATACGTGTATCGCTACAGCCCTTGTCTTTACTTTAAATGTTGATCTGAAAAGCTCTTCATCAAAATCTGTTTAAAAATTGCAATAAATTCTCAATCGGCAGACATATATTGATATGATATCGATTATGGGGGTCACTGCCGATTCCCAACCCTACTGTTAATAATACTGTGATATTACTGATCGTATCCATCAGCTGGGTGAATTAGGTCACTGTCTGTTTATCATGAGTCTTATTTCTGTGTTATTGCTAGTATCAATTAGGGCAGTTAGATCATTGATCTGTTTGCATGTTTCAGTAAATTTCAAAATGGTCTGTTTTTCCTGACAGATAGCACAGTTACTCACCATGCAGGGATAGAGCAAAACAACCTGAGAAAAGAGAGAGACAAGCTACTGCTGAATTACAGCCTGTGGATTGCAGAGAGAGACCAGCTACTGCTCAATTACAGCTTCCAGACAGCAGAGAGAGACCAGCTACTGCTGAATTACAGCCTGCAGACTGCAGAGAGAGACCAGCTACTTATGAAGTTTGATAAATGCTGCAACAAGAGTGAGTAAATGGTTTGTTTAAATCTAGAAGAACCCAAAGATAAAGTTATACATTTGGATATGCTAAAAGTACAACATGTTACATTGTGGGGACCAAATGTCCCCTACAGTGTGATAAAAAAAAAACTGTGATTTTGACGTTGTGGGGACCATTTTAAAGGTCCCCACAAAGATCTGTGAATGCAATCAAATAACTAAAAATGCCAAAAGTATCATATTATGTTTGGTTACTTATGGTTAAGGTTAGGGCTGGGTAGGGGTTAAGGTCGTCATGTTGGGATTAGAGTTTCCCCCATAGAAATGAATGGAGAGTCACCACAAATATATAATTACAAAGCTGTGTGTGTGTGTGTGTGTGTGTGTGTGTGTGTGTGTCTGTGCAGACACATACATACGCTATGACTTATCCGGGGTTCTCAGCAAACCCATACTGACAGTCACAGCCATCTTCAAGGTCAAGCTGTGTCTCTGGACCGTAGGTGGTGTCTGTCCATCTGGCTGGAGGAGACTCAGTACAAGCTGTTACTACATTTCCACTGAGACAAAGAACTGGAGTGACAGCCGACAGGCCTGTATGCAGTTAGAAGCCAACCTGGTGATCATCAGCAGCAGAGAGGAGCAGGTAAGATAAATATGAAGTTTGATGATATCTATATTTGTGTGCCCTGTGATAGACTGGCATCCCATCCAAGGTGTAGCCCCGCCTTATGCCCTGTGATGGACTGGCATCACATCCAAGGTGTAGCCCCGCCTTATGCCCTGTGCTGTGTGGGAGGGGCTCCAAACCCCCCTGAGTCCCTGGATGGGATTGATACTTAAAGCTATAAAATATACCCTAAAGTATATAAGCTCTGTGGTATAGTATAACAAGGTATAATGTAAATATTAGTAATTTCATTTTAGTACATTGTGAATAGTGAATAAACAGAAAATTCACCTTTGAATGGAGACTGTAATATGGTAGAACGTCGCCTCTAGTGTTTTGTTCAAAACATCGTCTCTTGAAGTGATTTGCCCTTACTGTCCGATTAGCTGCCATGACAAACCAGAGGCCAAGAATCAGTCATTTACAATCCAATGTCATTTCCACTTTCCCCAAACAAATTACTTTCATAAAAGGAACTTTCACTCATTGTAATATTTCTTAAACATCAGGTCTTTGTTGAGGGTCTGTCTGGAGATTTCTGGATTGGTCTCAGTGACATTGAGAGTGAAGGAACCTGGAAATGGGTGGATGGAACAACAATTCCTGTAGAGAAAGGGTAAGACCAGCCTGCACACAATTACAGAGACGTAGAGGCAAAGACTAGGTTCCCCCACATCACTGTAGCATCCTTTAAACTACATAGTACAGTAATGTAATATGTACTCCATACGCTATTGTGCTCTTAAGAGTAAACTGCACAGTACTCTAAGCACTGCTTCCTACTGCTAACTTCAGTACCGTTGCATTCTTTCCCTTATAGTACAGAACTATAATATCTCTGCCACTCTGCTGTAGCTGCTACTTCTAACTAACAATGTTAGCTACTGTTAAATAACAAATGATTGTATTGCAAACTGTGGATGTCAGAAAACCATTAACACTGCACTGTCTCCAGGTACTGGCGAGCAAATCCACAGCAGCCTGATAACTACGGAAATGAAGACTGTGTGCATACATATAATACCATACATTCTGTTCCTTTTCAGACATGGAACGACCGTCCATGTAATGATGTTATACAATGGATTTGTGAATCCGTACTCAAGTGTTAACCCACAAATGGAGGGTCTCTCCATCACTCACTGTTGACTATAGATGGACAATCAGGGTGAAATGTTTATTTTCATTGCTGTCGAGAAGACGTAGGATAATCTCAGCTCTTCTGCAGCAAGAATTATTTTTTTTTAAATGTTTATGTGCTAAATTATATCCTATAATACTCATGCTTTTTATTAAAATTTAATATTGTAGATCATGGTTTGAGTGATAATCCTTATTCATATGTTGCCATGGTCATTTATGTATTTTAGAACTTTTTATACTCACTTAACCCTTTACCTGCTGCACCGACCTCTTATTGTGTAGGATCCTCTTCTGCTTCTACATGCAGTTTATCATATGACAGCTCAAACGTTCAGAGACACCTTTCTGCACGTCACTGCTGTACTGAGCGGTTATTTCTGTGCTGAGCCGTGGCCTTCCTCTGAGCGTTGAGTTGACTCTTAGTCATTTTTTACTTTTTATAACTTTACCCCCAGTTTCTCTTCTTCTTTCTTGTAGCTTGGGGCTTACAGCCAATCAACATCTCAACAACCAACACCTTTTTTCTCTCCCCCCTACATAAACACCCACCCGCCTTTGGTACACAGCTCTCTTTTTTCTCTGTGCAACGTCCGGTCCATATATAAACTACATTTAATCAATTTTGTTCCTCACATGGTTGTAAATTGCAAAATAAATGAAATAAAGTAAAATAAAATAACAACCTAAATAACCTCTGTCTCTTTCCTGACAAAACCACAGTCAGAGATATTGTGCCAAAGTCTGGGTCACATTAAGTCCAGCTGTTCTCCTTTGTCCTTCCTCATTAACACAGTGTACCTACTTCCATGCATCTATCTCCCATAATACAGGGTGGTACGTGTCTCAGCAGGTTAGGTCTCTGTTCCTGTCATTGGAAGTTCCCTGGTTCCAGTCCAGTCCTCAGCAGAATAGTTACATCTGCATTGGGTCCTTGACTAAGTCCCTTAACCCTGAAAAAAATGCTCAAGGGACCTTCAAACCCAAGTTTGACTCTCAATTATACATACAGGGTCATGCATAAGTCTTCCCCCTGAGGCCATTCCACATGCTGTCATTGTCACGCCCTCCCTACCTGCCCCTCCTGGTTAATTAACCTCCTTTGGAAGATCAGCGATGACCCCTGATGTCTGGGGTGAAAGTTGCCCCCTTAATCATCCCGTCTATCTAACTGCTGAATTCCCCCCTGCCCCTTTACCCCCTTAGCTACTGAGTGGTGAGCAGAATGACTGCTGTCACATCATCACATCACATGGCCCGCTTCAGTCACCTTAGGAAGTGAAGACACTGCTGAGCCTTCTTGGTGATGGAGGTTGTGTTGGTGGTCCAGGTGAGGTCATCTGAGATGTGAACTCCCAGAAACTTGTTGTTCTTAACAGCCACCGTGGAGCCGTTGATGCTGAGTGGTGTGTGGGTGTGGATGTGGGTGGAGCAGGATTTCCTGAAGCCGATGATCATCTCTTTAGTCTTGGCCACGTTCAGTGACTGGTTGTTCTCACTGCACCAGACAGCCTGGTGTAGAACATCTTCTCTGTATACTGACTCGTTGTTGTTGCTGAGGAGCCCCACCACAGTTGTGTCGTCTGCACACTTGATGATGTGGTTAGAGCTGTGTGTGGTAATGCAGTCGTGGGTCAGCAGTGGGAACAATAGTGGACAGAGAATGCAGCCCTGAGGAGCTCTGATGGTGCTGGAAATGTCAGGCCTCTCTGACAGAAAGTCCAGTATTTTTTTATATCTAGTGATTAATTGTCATTGTTCACACGCCACAGCACATAGTGCACAACAACAAAACGTGCCCTCTGCATTTAACCCATATGTAACATAGCAGGGGGCAGCTAATTCAGCACCCGGGGAGCAGTGCTTGGGGGCGGTACCTTGCTCAGGGTACTTCAGCGGTGCCTTGCTGTTTGGGGATTTGAACCTACAATCTTTCAACTACAAGCACAAGTCCCTAACCATTAAGCCACCACTGCCCAATTGCTATCCAGTTGCAGAGAGAGGTGCTCAGTACCAGCTCACTCAGTTTCATGTACAGTCTTTGGGGGGATGATGGTGTTGCATGCAAGACTAACGTCTATGAACAGCATTCTAATGTAAGTGTCTCTCTTGTCCAGGTGAGATAGGGAGAGGTGAAGGGCAGCAGATATGGCGTCTTCAGTCGACCTGATAGGCCGATACGCGAATTGTAGTGGGTCCAGTGAGTGGGGGAGGTTGATTTTGACCTGTGTCATGATGGGTCTCTCAAAGCATTTCATGACGATGGGAGTTAGAGTGAAGTGCGGTAGTCATGCAGGCAGCTTACTGAACCCCAAAAGCTTTTTCCTGGTCAATGGAAACAACCCTCAAGTCAAGTGAATCTAGGCTACACAGAGCCATCACATCAGGCATCATAAAAAGATTACAATAGGAACACAATAGGCCTGACCAGGTTGCACCAAGTCCCCCATGCAGCTTGCCGACCTATTAGAAAGGCAGTAAGACAGGATTTTACAGTCAGTGCACATCAAGGACAAGGGCCTCCAGTTCGACAACAATCCCAAATCCCCCTTCTTTGGGAGGAGAGTCAGCACAGTTCTCATGCAGCTATTCCGCAGCCTTCCGGCCCTCAGAGTCCAGTTAGAAACCTCATAAAGATCCAGACCCAATAAATCCCAGAAGTGTTTGTAAAATTCTGCTGGTACCTGTAGGCCATTGATGCCCGGCGCCTTCCCAAGCGACAAACGCTGAACCGCCAACGTCAGTTCATGGAGCCGAAGGTCCCCATCTAAGGTCTCCCTCTGCGTTGTCCCCAGGCTGGTCAATGTGTCTGGACAGTATAAATCATCAGGACAGTAAAAATGTTAAAGTTATATATCTGGATTCCTCCTCGTACAGCTATTCTGCCTCTTTTCTTTCTTGGTTGACCTCTGCTCTGTGAAAGTTTTGGTCAGGGCTACATTCACGCCATATCTGGGTGTTCAGCACAAATCCCTGATGAGGAAATTTACGTCACATCATCCAGTGTGCGACCAAAAGCACAGGCGGGAAGATTTTGTATTAATTGGCCTTTATGCTCCCCTGGGTTTGTTAGACGTCCACAAACATTTCCTTCATCTTGTAGATGCTGAGCAGCAGACTGTGGGCCTTGCACCACTCCAGCAGCTTGCTCACCCCCTGTGTGTGTGCAGACTGGTCTCCATCGCTTATGAGGCCCATCATGGTGGTGTGGTCTGCATACTTTATGATGTGGTTAGAGGTGGTGCTGGCAGAGCAGTCTGATGGCAGCAGTGTGAATAGACATGTACCCATGACTGGCAGAGTGATCATATCACTGTCGGACCTTCAGCAAGACCCTTAACCCCAACTGGTCCACAGATGCTGGCTGACCTGCTCTCTCATACTCACCTGTACATCAACTTGGACAAAAGTCAGTTAAATAAATTAATGTATTGCTGTACTCCTTATGTTTTGTAATGCTTATGTATCAACATATGATGTAAAACAAGATATTAAAATTTAAGGCAATATAGGGTGGCCTCTTACATTTGCATTTACTTCATTTAACAGATGCTATTGTCCAAAGCGGCGTACAAGTCAGACAATTAGCTCATTACAGACATACGGCTGTCTAGGAGCCACGAGGCATAAGTGCGGCTGGGCTGAGCTTCTGATGGATGCCCAGGTACAGTGTGTGCTGTAAGGCACAGGAACTACAGAACTCATAAAAAAGCAAGAACCCATAATGCAACTATTCTAATCAGCAGAAAGTGCAACATTAGAAACCATGGAGTGGTGGCATCTGACAAAAATGAACAAAAAATGGGTGTTTGTCGGTTTCACGTCACAGTTACTTTTTTAGCCAACCACTAAAATGACATATAGCACGAAAACCCCAGTAGATACAACACAGATGCATAGAGCACAGTGAGGAAGCTGGTAGCTGCAACCATGTCCAAGGAGAACATCTATGCAAACATGAGCAAGACTACTGACCAGATCAGACAGAGGAGCAACACAACTCAATGTCCAGGTAAAGAGATAAAAGCAAATAAAGCAATAAGGGGGATGATTTAATGCACCTTCATACAATCAGATAAACTCAGATAGACACTATAGAACTAGAAAAGTTACTAAACTCACTTCCATATGGATGATAAAAGTATTAGAGTCGACACCAACAAGGTGGAAGCCAAGTGAGTGTGTATGAAGGTAAGCTAGTCATGCCTCCTAGGTTCTTGAGAAAAAGTTAGTTCTGAAAATATTCACTTTGAAGAGAGACGCAGCATCTATCAGGAAACACAGCGGTATCGTTCACTGTGGAAGTGTGTCTCTGATGCCTTGTGTTTTCCAGTGAGCCTCAGCAATGTAGCTGTTTGTGTTTCCCAGGATCTGAGTCTGCAGGGAGACGAGACCACAGACCGGCTGTAGTGTGTCTGGGGCTGCTGTGTTTCCTGCTGCTGATGGCCCTCATAGTGCTGGCTGTTTACTGTGAGTCTGTTAATACTGTGATATTACTGCTAGTGTCCATCAGCTGGGTGAGTTAGGTCACTGTCTGTCTACTGTGAGTCTGTTAATGCTAAGGGTGTCACGATCCTCCAAATCCTCCATTCGATTACATTTTCGATTCTAAAGTCACGGTTCGATTCGATTCTCGATTTAAAAAAGAAAAATTTGAAAGCACAAGCTATGCCATTTTAAGACTTTTAAGCAATATAATAATATCTGACCTTTGTTCGCGATGTACCAGACACTACATTGTCAAATTTAAAATGTTTATTAACAATATAATGTAACAATAACTTATATCTTCAGTCAATTGGAAACTTATACAAAATAACCTGCCATCTAATTTCTCTTTTGTAACTGCAGTTTTCTTCACAGATGATGACATTCAAGTTCACAAAAAAAAAATAGCAGTTTCAAGTTCTTGTTAAAGAGGAATATGAAAAGAGAACTGCTAAAAATATTGCAAAAATACTGTCAAAAATATTAACTATTTACATTTATATGGGCAGATTTTTTTTTTATAGTTTCATGTTCTTCTTTAAGAAAATGAGAATGTCCACATTCTCTGTGGAGAGGGCCGCTCTTTGAGATGTCACAATGTCCCCAGCTGTTGAGAACACTCTTTCACTTGCCACACTTGTTGCTTGTACAGCAAGATAACGTTTGGCAAGCTTGGACAAATTTGGGTACTGGTTCTCATTATCTTTCCACCATTTCAGTGGATTTGAATCCACAGAAATTACTTTAACCATTTTGTATAGCTGAATCTCGTCTTTTACAACATCAGGCCATGGTTTGGTTTCTGATGATGATGCAGTGGAGGCTGTGCTGAAAAAACCACCAAACAGTTCACTGAGTGCTGTTCTCTTTGCTGGGGGGCTGCCTCCACTGGTTGCTACAGTGACTGTATCCTCTGCAGGGTTTTGGCTGGATCCTTCTCCTGAGGCATGAGACTGAAATAGTCACACACAAAACACTGTTGTTTAAGGTAATAAACAGGCAGAAATTATATTTAAGTGTGACAATAACAAACAGAAAGGATATTGTGATTAGTCCTATTCATGAAATATTATGAATGTGAAATTATGTAAATACAAAAAACAAACTACTTTAACTTAATCACATTAGCCTATTAGCATCACATACCTGTGTGGAATGCTCTTGCAAGATTTTCT